GGCGGTGGAGAGCCTCTCAGCTCTATCTTTGCATTCCACAGTTTTATGGGAGCTTTCTTTGTGGCCAAACTCAACATTTTAGATCATTCTGCTGGGCTCTTGCTCTTCATTCTCAACATAAATCTGATGAAAAGCCCCCAACAACAGCCATGCCACTGCCCCAATATTTGACTGCTTTGAGATTTCCTTTGAAAGATTAATCAGTCCTCCAAGTTTAATCTCAATCTCAGGCAAAGTCTCTGGACACAGGCAAAATTCAGAGGAGCCTTTTGCCAAGCCAAAACACAAATCATCTGGAGCCCAACAACCAGTGCAGTCCCTCTTCCCCGCAGAAACCTCCCAGCCTGGTCCTTACAGGCAGGCTTTCTATCAGTCTTCTGGTTGAGCTCTGACCAGAATCTTCACTACAGAGCAGCCGAAGCTGTTCCATTGCTTCGCTTGTGGGTGAAATCTTCAAACCTTTCCTGTCTCTTCCCGTGAGCCAGTTCCAAAAGCTGGTAATCCATATTGTCAGGTTTAGCCACAGCAACGACCCCACTTCTCTGGTACCAGGTTCTGTCTTAGTTACTCTTCTCTCCTTGTGGGACAAATACCTGACACTCAAAATGAAGGAAGGAAAAGTTTATTTAGCTCACAGTTGCTGCAGGTTTCAAGACACTGGAGGAGAGGCTGGGGGCTGCCGCGTCCAGGACGACCCTCTCCACGTCTCTGAGAAAGCACAGGCTGCTAGTTTAATGGTTGGCGCCTCTCTGGCTCCGCCCTCTGGCCCCGCCCTCTGGCTCCGCCCTCTGGCCCCGCCCCCCTCTGGCTCCGCCCCTCTAGCCACTCGCTGCTCCTTCAGCCAGGTCTGTCCCATAACTTACATGAGGCTTGGGGGCGGGAGGGACACACAACTACACACAAACCATAATAACTGTCTGAAAAAGAAAGAAGAAGAAGAAGGCTAGCCTTGGCAATTTATCGATGCCTGTCTGGGGTCGGGGGAGGGCAGATCCACAATATGTCAGGCCCAGCCTGGTCGCACATAGCTGTAATCCCAGCAGTAAGGAAGCTCAGGCAAAAGGATTGCCACGTGTTTGAGGCCAGCCTGGGCTACACAGTGAATTCAAGGTCAGCCTGGACTATACAGTAAGACCTTGTCTCAAACAAACAAACAAACACCTTAAAAAAAGAAAGAAAACAGTATATCAGTGAAAAAACCCAGGCAGAATGAGAAATGCTAATGCCCAGTTCTATTAACACTTGATATCCAAAACAGGTAATTCCTCAGAGACAGAAGATGCATTTCCAGAGTTGGAGGGAGAAGGGGACGGGGGCAACTGCTTAATGACTATAAGGTCTCCTTTTGGGGCAATGAATGTGTTTTGCACAGCATTGTATTATTATTTTTTATTTTTTATTTTTTGGCGGAACCGAGGATTGAACTGAGGCCCTTGCACTTGCCAGGGAAGCACTCATTCCACTGAGCCATCTCCCTGGCCTGCACAGCATTGTAAATGCACAAAATGCCACTGGATTAGTCAGTTAAAGTGGCTTAAAGAAATTTCCAAGTGCTGGGCTGGGGAGATGGCTCAGTGGAATAAGCGCTTCCCTGGCAAGCACAAGGGCATGAGTTCAATCCCCAGTTCTGCAAAAAGCCAAAAATTTCCAAGCGCTGAGCCAGGAGCTCATCCTCCTGGGTCTGAACCCTGCCCCAGATGTCCCCATCTGTGATCTGGGCTAGTAACAGGCTCCCTTTTTAGTCTGGGGATCTGGACCAGGGCCTCCCAGAGGGGACGAGCCAGGTGTGGCTGTCATCACTTTCTACTGAGCTTAGGCCCCCACTTACTTGGACCCCTGGGTGCGCAGAACACGCCTCTGCCTGACCCTGCTTCCCCCTGTCCTGCACAGTGCTGGAGTCGGCCGCACGGGCACCCTCATTGCTCTGGTCGTTCTGCTGCAGCAGCTGGAGTGTGAGGGCCTCGTGGGGCCCTTGGGCTTCATGAAGAAGATGAGGCAGAGCCGGCCCCTGATGGTGCAGACAGAGGTGAGGGTGCCTCTCCCTGGGCTTGGGGCGGGGGTGGGGGTGGGCGATGGGTTCCAGGACTCAGTGCTCGGCCTGCCCCCACGCAGGCCCAGTACGTGTTCCTGCACCAGTGTATCCTGCGCCACCTGGAGCTGTCAGCAGCCACCCCGGTCCAGAAGGATGCAGTGTATAAGAATGTGGCAAGCCTCATCTATGAGAATGCAGATGCCATCCGGGCCCACGAATTACAGGTGTAAGCCGGAGAATGGGCTGTTAGAACAGCCACACTTGAGCTCTGGGTCTCCCAGCCCAGATTCCTGGACCCGTGGGACAGTGGAGGGCTGGGCCCAGGATCCTGGCTCCTGTGGGGAGGATGCTGGGAGCACTGGCTCCTCCGCTGCTCTGGAGTCTGGGCCTGCACTGGGCGGACCTGGACTCTGGTCCCTTGACCAGGAGGGTGGAGCTGTGGCCTGGGGAAGGCTCTCTGGCAGTTATCTGGAGCCTGCCTGGGCTCTCAGGAAGGAAGGACTGCAGCCCAAGGGGCAAGGGCAGGCTGGACCCAGCTCTGCTTTTCCTTTGGAAGCCAAGGCCAGCTTCTGGGATCTGAGGGCTACAGCATCCCCTGCCCGAGGTCTCCCTGCACCCCACTCCACATGTTTTCCTACTTCCCATAATTTATTAAATCATTGTTCTCCCCAGAGGCTGCTCCAGTGGATTTCTGGGTCAGGGTGTGATACTGGGTGGGAGTGGGTGTGGGCTCCTGCAGGAGACCCAGGGTCTTCTCAGAAGTAGCTAGGCGTGGAAGGCTTCTAGGGAAGGCCTCTGTGTCCAAGATCTGGGTTGTGCGCACTCCTGAGGTGGTGACTGGGGGCGCGGGTGGTGGGCAGGATACCCGACCTCTAGAAGGGGTTCTCTTGACTCCTGGGACTGGGTGTGAGGTGTGTGTGTCGTGCGCGTTGTGGAGCCAGTGAGCAGTGTGGATGTCTGCTGGATGGCTGGACCAGAACACAGAGAATCCTAGGGACTCACGGCGCCATCGTAGTTCCCGGGTGGGCGGGCTGAGGGGCGGAGCGGCGTCTTGCCTCCCAGACTCACAGGCGCCGCCTTCTCGGCGCTCAGCACCCGGGACAGCGCCACCCACGTGGCTCGGAGGTCCGGCCCAGCCATCCAGCAGGTAAGAGCGCCGGGCCCGCCAAGCCTGTCTTCGGTCTATCCCCAAGGGACAGGGTGCGCCTGCTGGGGGAGGGGCAGTTGGAGGGACAGTGAAGAACCAAGCGAGGGAGTGGGAGGTTGGAGCTTGAAACGAGGAGACGGGGATTAGAGACGGGAGACATGATGGGTGTGGAGACAAAGAGCTGAAGGGGGAGGGGAGCGCCCCCGGCCTAGAGAGCCAGATTCCAGAGAGGAGGGAAGCCCGTTAGAATGGACAGTGCTTGTTTGGGATCAAGATGGAGGAGACTAAGGCAGTGGTGAGAACAGGTGTGAAGACAAGAGCTGGGGTGTATAGGAGAAACCCACGGGGCATGATAACGTGGGGACCCAGTAGAGGCATCCGATACCCGCTTCCGCCCCCAGCAAGAGGGGGAAGGGCCAGATGTAGCGTGTGTGGGGGCTGCTGCTAGCCAGCCTCCTTGGACTCGGGATCTGGGTGGGGGATCCCAGGTGCATACAGTGTCTGGAGTCAGCCGGCCCCGCCCCGACTTCACTTCCTGCGTCAGCCCCGCCCGTTGTCCTGGCAACAGGCCGTTGCCTGACAACTAGAGGTGCGCACACCCTGCTGGTTTGGAGCCAGGCTGTTGCTCCCGGCAACTCTTCTGATGGTTCCCACGCGCCTTTGCCCTCTTCCGGCTCAAGCTTGGAAAGGGCAGAAGTCTTGGTGATGCCTGACGGTGACTTGAAGTGGGGAGACATCCTGTGGGATGGAATTGGGACCCCAAAGCCTTGCTTTCCTTGGCCTCGCTGGGAGGCTGAGACTGCAACTCCCAGCAGGCCCCGGGAGCCATGCAGCCGGGGTCTTCTTCATAGTCGAGGACTCAGTGGATGCTGGGGTGGGAGTGGGGCCCTAGGGAACTTGAGTGCCTCAGCAGCAGCAGCAGCAGCAGCAAGCAGCGCGGGACCCGGCCACTATGTTCCCGGAGCCCCTGACCCCAGGGCCTCCGGCTCCCAACGCCCCTCCGGACTCCAGCCGCATCAGCCAGGGTGCAGGTGAGCTGACCTGGGCTGAGCCAACGCGGAGCCTGTGGGACCCCTGGAGGAACGATGGGGGGAGGACAGTCGTGGGGGGAGGAGGGCGGGGGATAAGACTGGGATTAGGGTGTCAGCATCCTCCACTGGAATTAGAAGGAAATAGGGAAAGAAAGGAACAGGTTAGGAAGGAAAACCAGGAGCGGATCAGGGCGTGTGGCGTGGAATGGAATCTGGGGTCCATGAATGGGTGGATCCACCTCTTATTTTACAGATAGAGAAAATGAGGTCCAGGAAGGGGTAGGGCTTCTGAAAGCATCAGGTATCGAGCAGAAATTGGGGTGGAAAAGGAAATGGAACTAATAAGTAAGCAAAATGGTGTTATCCTGGGTTAAGGCATCGATTAGCCTCTCTAGGTGAGATCTTTTGGAAGGAATAAATGGCTAGGTAGTGGGCGAGGCCAGGGAGTCGGGGCTCAGCCAGCCCCGGGCCTCCCAGGGTAGCGATGCCAGTCCACTCCACCCCTTGCAGTGCCACCCTGGGCCTTGGCGACCATCGTGCTGGTCTCCGCCCTCCTGGTCTTCAGCTGCGGTTTCTGTCTCTGCCGGAAGCATTGTCGGAAGCGGATGGGCAAGAAGAGCCAGGCGCAAGCCCAGGTCCACCTTCAGGAAGTGAAGGAGCTGGGCCGGAGTTACATAGACAAGGTGTGGCCTGGCCCGGCCCCGCGACCCTTCCCTTGCAGGGGCCCAGCCAGTCTCAGTCCCTTGTGCCCTCTCCCTACTCTCACCGTGTCCACTCAGCTTCTCTGTTTGTCCAGCTCTCAACTGGCCTCGGGGGGCCTGGAGATGGCCCAGATCTACTTGCTGTTTACAAGAATGTCACAGTGTAGTGGGGAAGGCAGGCATTGACAATGCAGGCTGGTGTGGGTCCTGTGAGGGCCAAAAGGGGATATCCAGGAAGGCAGAGGGCACCTTACAGCGTAGAGAAGGGCTGAATCTTTCAGAGCTTTCAATAACGAGCAGCCAGCCTGCTGCAGCACCTCTACCACAGATTCACCGCAGCTGCCCTGGAGGCTCAGAGGAGGCTTCCGGCTAGAGGTGGCTTCTTTGATGAGACTCAAGGAACAGATTTAGCCCAGACCAAAGAGGACATTCTCTGGGTGTGATGGTACATGCCTGTGACCCCAGCACTCAGGAAGATGAGGCAGAAGGATCACTGAGTTCGAGGCTAGCTGGGGCTACATAAGCAAGTTCAAACCCAGCCTGCACCGTATAGTGAGACCCTATCTCAAGGGGGGGTGCATTTAAATCCAAGAAAAGAATGTGTACAGGTCTGACTTCATTTGGGGATCAAGGAGTTATTTTTCACAGTGGCTTGAAGTAAAGCACAAGCCACTTCACTTGTGGCTCGTTGAGCACTACAGTAGGGCACCTGCTTGGCTCAGCTGTAGCCACATGAGGGCACTTGGGGCTTGGGGAAGGTCTTGAGCAAGAGGGACAGTCCCCACTCTATCCTTAAGCCCCAGTGTCCAAACACCATGCATCAGGTTATCTGCAATATTTGTTGCATGCTGATTCTCGGTGGAGTGTCATACAGACCTGTCAAATCAGATTTTCCCACAAGACTTAGGAATTCCAGTCCACAGTGAATCTTGAGAATTGATGGCCTGGGCTCAGGAGAAAAATTATATATATATATATAATTTTTTGCGAAACTGGGGATTGAACTCAGGCCCTTGCGCTTGCCAGGCAAATGCTTATTCTACTGAGCTATCTCCCCAGTCCCCCACTTGTTTTGTTTTAGAATGTGAAGTACACAATAAATGTGTCATTTCTCCTCTCCACTTTGTGGTGGGATGATCACCAACTCATGTGGCAATTCGGATCACTGCCCCAGTATATACATTAACATGCAAAATGGCTTCCTACATCTTTCCTGTGGACACTTTTTGTAGTCTAAGTATGAAAATGCTAATAAGTGCTTGCCTGGCAAGTGCAAGGTTCTGAGTTTGATCCCTGGTACCACCA